TTTTCAACAGTTTTAATTTTACTGACCCATTGTTAGCTGTGGTTTCCATGTAACTTACCAGGGCCCAAGATGGAATTGAAATTGAAAGATGAAAAAAAATTTCATGTTGTGGTATCAAGATTATTATTAAGGAAATTTTATTGAGTGACAATCATGACTAACATTTTGACAAAGCATGTCAAGTGTGTAAAGGAATATCAAAGAATGTGTCAATGCTTGCGGATCAGCCAGTCTGGTTTCCTGTAGCTAGGCAAACCAACTGAAGTAGACTCTTGAACCTGTCAGACAAATTCTTTACACCTTGCAATTTGGATTAAAAACTTCCAGAAACTTCAAAAAGCCTGTTGACAGCCCCTTACACTTCCCGCCATGCATCACATTTGCCATTTCAAATTCCTGTTGCAATTGCCTTAGGTCTGCATCCAAGCACGGCCACTTAGATATACCAACTCCTGCTTAATTCCTGCCCCAATATTTGCTCCTCTTGATCTGGTGACATGAAATGAGCTCAGCTGATGAGGCTGTGCTTGCTCAGTAGGGATGTGCTTCCGGCCGCTTCCAAGCCAGAACTGAGCAATTATTTGGTCACTGCGGAGTATATATGGCAGCCCACTTCCCTGCTACATTTGAGTGCAGGTGTCATTGATTTATTGGTCTTAATCCACAAATTGTTTCTTCTTGTCAGTTTAAGTGTGACTGAGCTTTCTGCACAGTTAATGCAATTGGAAGGAATCAAGTCTTTGAACATATTGTTTGCCTTGTTGGAATTTATCTTGCTGGCTCATCATTATACTTATCTCCTAATTTTGTAAGGCCTTGTAGTCCGGGCATTAAAATTTATACCATGCCAGTGGCAAGCAGATTTCATTAGGCATGAAATATCGTGATTGTTAGATGGTCCCCTGAGGGAAAAAAACCTCAACAAACTAAACAGACTTCATCTCCAGCAGATCTGACAGGCCCCAACACTTATCTAAACCTAACCACTCACAGTTGGCCCAAAATCTGATGGCAGTTTGTCTCTGCAAGCAGTGATCAAAGCCTTGTTCCACAGTTGGCATGGTGACGGACAGGGAGGAAGGTCTTCTTGTCCAGTAGAGCTTATCTTGTTCCTATGGCTTGCAGGCATTCACCTGTGAGGGGGCTGCCAAGTATGTTGGCCACGATAAGGCAGGGCCCACCAAAGTGGAAAATATTTTCATGGGCGTGCGCTTAGAGCTATACAAGCAGCGATCAATCAGTGGTTTTCTTCTCAGCGTTGTCATTTATGAATTAGAAAATCATGTTGGTATTTTGAAGAGGTGATAAAATATCAACATGAGGATTTTGGCGTGATGTTTTGTAAGGATATCTAGTTGAGCAGCCTCTGGTTTAGGTTAGCCTGGGTGTGGAGCTGAGAGACAAACTGAAAGTTGTGGGGTTATCTCCAAAGCCTCTTTATTGACTACAAATTTTAGATTAACCTCATGACATCTTTAGTACTCAGATTAATTCTAAAAGGATTAGGAATGATATTGTGGGTCAATGGGGTAGGTCCTTCTCACACTCTAGCCCCCTAGATCTGGTAGAATAAGCACTTTAAATGTCATAAATACTTCATAGGTCTAATTTTCTCACACGCTTTACAGATGTTTAATACTATCCATCTGTTAGTTGGCTCATGTTTGGAGCGAATTTGTATCAGGAACAGTTTGGAATTTCCATCTGATTTTGCTGATGATGATATGCTAGCCATACCAGTAATGTAAGACTGTCTGTCTTGGGCTGGAACTTTTGGCACTGTCAGTAGGTCCCTTTTGGTTAGCTGTGGACTGTGCTTAAAAATCATAAAAACTCATAATGTCATGTGGATAAATGCAGGATTTTGTATAGAATGTCAGTTATGACAACATATTGAACTGCATAACTATGTGTAGAAAATCATATTACAATGTATATAACCACACTACTGGATAGACATGATTAATTTTGACTTCAAATATAATGTTTTTTATTTTACACCTGTCTGTTGCATATAGAAATGTCAAAACAAATGATGAGACTGTATTTGCCTCATGCAGTAAAATGAAGTCCAAGTTCATGGTATTCGTCTCAAGGCAGTAATATGATTGATTGACATAACTATTTTCAATCTTCATAATCCAGGTGTTTATCAAAATGCCCCCAACTTCAATTTTCCGAAATTATGCCCCGCAGTAAGCTTTAATTAGTTAATCATCCAAGATTATTGGCAATTATTGCTCTTTGTTGGTTAATCAGGACCAGATTAAGGCCATGTGGTAGTGATTAGGCAGCCAATATCCCCACCTAGCTCCCACAGTCCCACCTGCCCCTGCCTTCAGCCAAACTCCAAATCCCAGACAAGATCTGATAAGACAGACAGGTTATTTGTGTAGGCAGCAGTACAGGAGTGGCTACCAGACAAGACAGGAGGCCAGAATATTACTACATTGTCTAAAAATAGTAAAATTAGATGCTCCCTAACTGGCAACAAGATAAGACAAAATGATTGATATACAATTTCATTGACAACTAGTTTTGTTAGGTCTTAACATACCTTGATATTAAAAGGCAAATTCAGGTTATTTGTATAGGCAGCAGTACAGGAGTGGCTACTACCAGACAATACATTAGGCCAGAATATTACTAGTACTACATTGTCTAGAATTGGATGTTCTCTAAGTCTAACTGGCAACAAGTATCTGTCTTGATGGGCACAAGTCTTGGAGAGATCATCGTAATTGGTGACACAATACTTTATTTTTCCTGATAGACAAAAGATTGATACACAGTTTCATTAACACAATAAAATAAATATACCTTAATATTGAAAGGCAAATCCAGGCATTTTTATTTCCATACTTTGAGGTATGCCAATACTTCATTATAAGCAATGTCAGAATGTACAGTAAAGAATACATGTATGCAGATGTTTTTCCTTTGGCCAGACATGTCTGATTTGAGTATTACCTTTGAGAACTTCAAGTTGAAGTCCAGTTGATCCCAGAAATCCAGCCATGTGCATGTAAGACACAGAGTGCCCTGACGTGGATTATCTGTGGGAGAGTCCACAGCTTACACATGCCAGGCAACAGTCAAGAGGGCCTGCAAGCCCTTTTTCGTAAGGCGTAATCAGGCCGTTTTAGACTTCGTAATTCGTAGGCAGCCT